CGCCCCCGCCCCCGCCGCCGCCCCCGCGCCCCTGCCCGCGGCGACCCCAGAGGAGCCGCGCTCCGACCCCACACTCTACCGGCAAGTACCTGACTCCCAGTATGTCCGTAAATCAAAACACCCGACCCCCAAGGCCCCAAAAATCCTGCCCCCGCGTAAGACGAGCGAGAGCCTGGACGGAAGTTCCAGTGACACATCGATCCCCCGAGACGACAAGCCCCCGATAGTCCTCAGAATCTGCAAGGGAACGGCTCGCCTGCTGTCAGGAGACAGTCAAGAGTCCCACGACGACCCCGAGATGTACAGAGTGACGACTCCAGTGAGTCCCACGAAGAGCGAGCCCGATCGCAAGAGCTTCAGCCCAGAGATCTCGAGACCAGAGCGATCGACGAGATCGCACCACCAGCCGACGATAACGACAGTGTCGATTCCCCTGGACAGCCCAGAGCTGTCGACGCGCAGAACGACTCGCAGTCGAGCCAAGAACCTCAACCTGGACCTCACCTCAGCCCCGATCCTCACCTCGCCGCCCCCGACGACCCCCACAACCAGGGAGAGCTCGGGCCTGTCACTCACCCTCAGGAAATCCATAACTGATTCCAACAACACATCGATCTCCCACTACGACATTGTTAAGACTGACTGCACGAGCTACAAACCTATCGTCGAGCCACTGATCGGCAGGGATCAACCACTGCCAACGACCACGCAGGAGCTCATTGACATTCTTTCCAGTGATAACGATGTGAGGGATCGACACACCGAACGGCTGGATCCTCCTGGTGATTCTGGGTATTTATTCATGCATTTATTCATTTATTTGTTGCTTCCGAATGGAAGCATTGTAATCGCTCATTTTTTTTATCTTCTAATTTTGATTGGAAATGATGTAGAATGTCATGAAAGGAGAAGATATGATGTCTTTACAAAATGGGGGTCTGTATGTCCGTACGTGTGTACAGATTTTTCGGAAATTTTTTATATATCTTAACAAAAATACAAGTAAAGTTGCAGCTATAAATCTGAAATTTTGTCACGTAATTGCTATCATTTGGGAGCAGCTCTGGACGCAGTTTCAGCCCAATCGGTCAAGTAGTTTTTGAGATACAGCAATTTCTCAAAAATCGTTTTTCCTCAATATCTCAAAGACTACGTGACCTAATTGGATTTTTTTGACGTCAAAGTGTTCCTTGTGACAGTATCCATCAAATCAAGTCATAATATCCCTACGAAACTAGGAACAATTTGATGATAATTGGCATTTTTCATTTTTATGATAAAATTGATGTATACACGATAACTCCGGAAAAAAATGAGATAGGATATTGAAATTTGGTGAAATTGTAGCTCTTATGCTATTACAGGATGAGTTCGTGAGTAGGCGGAATCGAACAAGTGGTTTAGAAGATATTCAAGTTTTTGTGAGAAACTGTTTTGCTCAATATTTCCTAAAATAGTGATCCGGTTTCAATTTTTTTTTTTCAAAATACTTGTCTGGCTGCCATCTATCGAGATCAATCAAAATATGAATACCCGTTCATACAAAGTTTCCGAGATATTCACGTTTTTCTGTTTTTTTCATCTCATAGTGAATTTGACGTCCCGTAATCCGCGTAAAAGTTCGAATGAACCCCATAAAATTTTAGCTACTAATCAGTATTATCGGATTTCACTTCTGTACAAAATTTTGGGTCGATCGATTCAGTACATCATGGCATAAAGCCATTTATCTAAAAATCGTTTTTTCTGAAAAACGACACATCGTCACTTTATCGATGATTTTCGCGTCTGGATGATTATAAAAGTCATTCAACATTAAATTATGCTCATTTTTATTTTATATCATATTGTTAAATATTAGTCGGTTTCATAATAAATGAATGTTTATTAAAGATTTTGTAGCGAAAAAGATAAAAAAAATACAAAAAGGTGTGACGCGTCCGGGGGATTGCCAATTCTCATTTTTGAAATGGGAATTGCTATGGATCCATTCGGAAGCTTATTACCAATGGAATTGGTCGAAAAAAGAAGACTAACAACGCATGAAGAAACAGTCACATGGCTTCTGCCGAATCGGAGTTCTACCCTGCTTGTTATTTCTATTTTTAGAGTTTTCTAGTAGGTGAAGTATCAATTTGTACGTAAATTTCATAAGAGCCCGTGTATAAGGAAAAATTAGTATATTCATTTCTGCCGAGACTACTGCGATTAATTTTTTCTTAACGTTAGAAAAGTTAGTTTTATGTGTTCTGCGGTCAGCCGAAAAAATTACAGAATTTTCCTTTCCCATGAAAAAAAAACACATTTACGGACAATTTACCGACACTGGCTAAACATCCTTAAAAAATGTCTGCATGTGTCTGTAGGTATGTGTGTGCACATGTGCGTTCGTATGTCCAGAACTGTCCCCATAACTTGAGAATTATTGAAGCAAAGATGTTGAAATTTTGAGTATTAATTGGTACTACTGAGACTCAAATTTGTGCTAAATTTCAGCTCGATCGGTTGAGCGGTCCCTGAGATATAACCATTCTTTGAAAATGACTTTTTACATTTTCGAAGAATGGCTATTTTGACTATTTTATATAGAATTGACTATTTTATATTTGGATTTTCTAAATATTTATCTTTATCATTCATTCAGTTTTTTTTCTACGAGATCGGCCGCGCGTGCTACGCACGCGCTCTCTCCTCTCCTCACGTAGTGGCGCTTCGGTTTCAGTCTTACGCTTACGCTTATTCGAGATTTTCGAGATATTTCGAAATCGATTTCCTTTCTCCTTCTTACGATAGGATATCTCATTCTTTTTATAATGTATTTATGACTGGACGCAATTCAATACATTTGAAATTTGAATGAAAAAAAGGAAACTCATGAATTCTTCCTTCAGATTTTCATTCATCATATACTTACATAACTCGTTAATTTCAATTCCTTGCATTTTCCTTGTTTTTCCGAGTGACATAAATTCGAGTCTCTTCCATTATTCAACTTGGGTATAGGTTCTAAATTCTCTAAAACCGAGAAAAATCCCCGGTTCCTTAGAAAATTCTATGAAAATGTGTATTTTTTTTCATTTGTGAAAAATTTCGAAAATTTCGTTTCCTGGAGATTTCTCGCATTCTCGGAATATTCATCTTTATCATGGATTGAGTTTTTTTTTCTATATTTCATTCATTTTCATAATGTATTTATGACTGTACGCAATTCAATACTTTTGAAATATGAATGAAAGAAAGGAAACTCATGAATTCTTCCTTCACATTTTCATTCATCATCCACTTACATAACTCTCATTAATTTCAATTCCTTTCCATTTTCCTCTTTTTCCTGAACGATATAAATTTGAGTCTCTTCCATTTTTCAACTTGGATATAGGTTCTAAATTCTCTAAAACCGAGGAAAATCCCCGCTTTCTTAAAAAATTCTAGGAAAATGTCAATTTTTTTCATTTGTGAAAAATTTAGAAATTTTCGATTCCTAGAGAATTCTCGGATTTTCTGAATATTCTCTGAATATTCATCTTTATCATTGATTGAGTTTTATTCTATGCATCATTCATTTTTCTAATGCATTCGTAACTGTCCGAAATCCAATGCATTTGAAATTTCAATGCAGAAAAGCAAGCATCTTCCAAATAAGCGACCATCCCCCCACATATGAAAAAATCGTATAGAAATTTTCTATACGAATTATTTCGATACATAAATTTTTCTTTTCATACGAACGATGTCTAAACGCTCCAGAGAAAAACGTAGAGAAATGTCGCAACTCCATACGGAATTTTTCTATACATGTGGCAGTGGGTCGTATAGGATCAAACCTATAGAAATCGTATAGAAATAATTTGTATAAGCAATATCCGTATAGAAATATCCGAATATCATATACGAAAATCCTATGGAAAATTTCTATACGATTTTTTCATGAGGGCCCTATCAAACAAGAAGACCAAATATTTCATAAAAGTAAAGAAGTTAGGGGATTTTGGAGAAATAACAACAACGTTGATTAAATTGTCAAAAGAAGCGACGTTTCGCCAATATATAAGGTGTTTTGGCGGGTTGAATTTCCACAGTGCTGATTGCTATTGTTGCATAGAAAGGTGCACGATGGAAGCGATATTTTCCAACATTAAGGCCCGGTTGTACTATCTTTCGAACGTTATCTCGATGTTTTTTTTCATCTTTCGTCATCTGAAATTGTCAATTGAGTCCAGCATCATGCAGAAGTTTTGAAAAATTATGAATGAATATTTTAAAAAAAGTAGAAGAAATCCTTAATTTCTTCAAAGAGCATTTTTAATTTATATTCAGAATAAGTTGAATAACAAGAAATTGAAAAATGTATCTGATTTACGGTGACAAATGGCGGCCTGTCACCCAATATCATACAGGGGCAAGACTGATTTCGTTTTTCGAAACCTTTTCCCACACTGCACAGAGACATTTATTACGGAAATAAAGCTCTTTGAAAAAAGTTGTAATATTTTGGAGAATTTTTTAATCACACTTTTATCACATAAAAATGGCAGATGACTACATACCACTGTTTTGAAAATTGAGATACCTAGCTGTCACTTCCCATGAGGAGTTAGTGTTTTATTATCCATCATGGAAAATGACAGCTAATAGATAATTTGCCATAGCGAATCAGATAATTGTAATTTCCACTTTTTTCAACTCATTCTGAATCTCAATTAAAACCACTCTTTGAAGAAGTT